GCTGTTATTTAACATAAAATACTGTTAATAATAGCTGTTATTTAACAGAAAATACTGTTAATAATAGCTGTTATCTAACATAAAATACTGTTAATAATAGCTGTTATTTAACAGAAAAGGCTGTTTGGCTGCTCTGTTTTTGTCTCTTTTGTTCCGACAGAAACCGTCTTTTTTTAGGGGATCTGACTTATCTGTGTGGCTTTTGTTTTATTGTTTTATTGTTTTATTTGAATCCGCGTGCTCTGGACTTTCTTTTGGGGTGGGGACTCTCTTTTTGCGTCAGTGATAGCAGGAAGGTTTGTTCTTTTTTACAGATTCTCAGCCGCGTAAAGTGGCCAAAACGCTTTTTCCAGAGTCTAAAAAGAGCAGAAAAACCGCTAAAATGACATTTCAGATCAGATGGGAGGACAACTACTACTACTAATAATAACAATAATAATACAACTATTACTAATAATTATAAGAAGAAGAAAAAGAAGAAGAAGAAGAAGAAGAACCACAACAATATAATAATAATAACAACAACAACAACAACAACAGCAACAACAACAATAATAATAATAATAATAATAATAATAATAATGATAATAATAATAATAATAATAATAATAATAATAATAATTCTACCGGAAGAAAACCGACAAAGTTCGGCCGAAAAAAAATAAAAATGACATAATGAAACACAACTGAAACAGCTAAAAATGAACAAAAAGGTGCAACTCTGATAAAGTGGACTGGGGGAACGTTTGGAGGAGGAATAAACGGAAATAACGATGTCACGCAAAGCCGCAAGGGGACTTCTGCTCTTCTCCAAGTTTTGCTCCTCTCTCCTCCAGTCGAGCAGGAGTCCTGAGAGGAAGGACAGCCTCCTCCTCCTCTTTTTTCCTCTTTCTCCTCCTCCTCCTCTTCCTCCTCCTCCTCCTCTTCCTCACCAGGAGCGACGGGAGCAGAATTGAGCAAATGATCCACTTTTACGCGCGCCTTCCCGGACGGTAACGATCGGGGGAAAAAAGGAAAAAAGGGCTCTCTTTTTTCTCCACACATCGGTGTGAAAAAGGGTCTCGACTCTCTCCACACGCGCTCATCGAGCGGTGCGCGCGTGTCCGTGGATATCGGCGCGTGTCCGTGGTGTAAGTGGGTGAGCAGAGTTGTTCCTGGTTAGTTTCTGGTTCCTGAAGCCCGGGCAGATGCCCTCCGGAGCGGGCCACTAGCTCCCGGTGGGTCCCGGTGGTTTGGATCCGTGTGGGTCCCCGGTTTTGGATCCCAGGATACCGGGGAAAGGCGCACATGGACGCGCCCGTGCGTCGCCCGGTGGGGGGGCTCCACCAGGCCCAGGACCCGCTCATCATCACCACCACCACCACCACCAACCCCCCCGGAACCAGAACCGGAACCGGAACAGGAACCGGAGGAAAAAAGCCCCTCGCTTTCTCCATCGACCGCATCATGGCGCGCACCCCGGAGCCCTGCAGGTCGATCCCGATCCCGGCCTGGCTCCAGCAGCCCGTGGGGGGGGGTGGGGGGGGTAGTGGAGGGGGGGGCAGGCCGCAGCTCCACTGCATGATCCCGCTTCTGCCCCTGGGCTACGAACCGGGGGCCCCGGGCCGGTTGAGTTTGGTACCCGGGAATGGGCCCTTGGATCCCGGGTTGGATTTGGAACCGGGCCCGGGGGGTCTACATCCGGACTCGGTTGCCCCGGTTCAGGGCGACTTTTTCGGCCTGGGTCTGAGCTACTACCCGCCCCCCGCCGCGGAGGACCCGGGGGGCCCGGGGCCCTACAGGCTGTTCCGGCCCCGCGTGCTCACCCAGAGCTACCTGGGCACCCCCAACCTCAACCTGCACCCCATGGCCTCCTACCTGCTGAGCGCGCGCCACAGGGCGCTGTCGTCGCACGCGCACGCGCACGCGCAGACGCACGCGCAAACGATGCAAGCACCGCACGCGCAGGTGGCCCCGCACGCGCAGACGCAGGCCTTCAAGAGCTACGTGAAGGAGCGCGAGCACCTGCTCACGGACAAAATGCTCAAGGGCTCCGCGGCAGCGGCTGCGGCGGCTGCGGCCGCGCACGCGCACGCGCGCATCAGCGGCGCGTGCGCGAGCAGCAAGCCCAAAGTTTTCACCTGCGAGGTCTGCGGAAAGGTGAGAGGGTTTAAATGCCACAAAAGCTGAGATTTATACAAGAAATGTTCAATTTAATGTTCAATTCATTCATTAATTGATTGATTTTTTATTCATTTTAATTTAAAAATGTTGGTTCTAAAGATCCGGATAGGTGAGGGTTGAAATACACAAAGGCTGAGATTTAACAAGAAATGTTCATTTAAAGTTCAATTATTTAATTTTTTAGTCATTTTCATTTAAATGTTAAAGAAAACGCAAAATGTTGGTTTTAAAGGCTGAAATTTAAAAAAAAAAATAAAATTTAAAGTTCAATTAATTGATTCGTTGATGGATTTTTTATACATTTTCATTTAAATGTTAAAGAAAACGCAAAATGTTGGTTATAAAGGCTGAGATTTAACAAGGAATGTTTAATTTAAAGTTCAATTTATTGATTCGTTGGTGGAAATTTTATACATTTTCATTTAAATGTTAAAGAAAACGCAAAATGTTGGTTTTAAAGGCTGAGATTTAACAAGAAATGTTTAATTTAAAGTTCAATTCATTTGTTCGTTGATGGATTTTTGATTCATTTTAATTTAAATGTTAAAGAAAACGGTAAATGTTGGTTGAAAAAGATCCGGATAGGTGAGGGGGGGGGGTTAGGGTTTTTCACACAAAAAATGTTCATTTAAAGTTCAATTAATTCATTCGTTGATGGATTTTTTATTCATTTTTATTTAACTGTGAAAGAAAACGCCAAATGTTGGTTCTAAAGATCCGGATAGGTGATGCGTCCCCTGGATTAGTTCCCGGCTCCTAAATAGAAAAAAAAAAAGGAAAAAAAAGCTGAAACTTAACAAGAAATGTTCATTTAAAGTTCAATTGATTCGTTTTTAATTCATTTTAATTTAACTGTTAAAGAAAACGCCAAATGTTGTTTTTTAAAGATCCGGATAAATTTGATTTGAATTGATTTTATTTGTTGTTTTTTCCGTGCGCGTTTCTCAGAAAACGGACCGGGTTTCGGTTTGTTTGAGGGAAGAGCGCGCGGGCCTTTATTTAAAATGAATTTAAAACGTCTGTCTGGATTAAAGTCGTTAAAAACTGTAGATTTGTATTTATTTAATGTCCCACAAAACATCAAATGTCATTAATATCAAAACGAAGTTGAGGGATTTGTGGGAATGTTGTTTTTACCACCAACACACGTTTTCATTTCATCAGAATTAGATCATTAGATTAATTTCCCCTTTTCAAATCCTTATGAATGTTCCCTGGTCGTCCAATTCATTATAATTATTATTATTGTTATTATTATTATTAGTAGTAGTAGTCATAGTATTGGTATTATTATTATTAATATTAGTATTATTATGTTGTTATTATTACCATCATCATTATTATGATTGTGATTGTCGTCGTTATTATTATTGTTACTATTATTATTATTATCATTGTGATTAATATTATTATGGTTGTTGTTGTTGTGGTTATCAGTATTATTATTATTGTTGTTATTATTATTATTATTGTGGTTGTTGTTGTAATCATTATAATAATAATTATTATCATTATTAGAATTATTATTATTTTATTGTTGTGGTTCTTTTTCTTCTTCTTTTTATTATTATGTTGTGTTGTTGGTGGTTATTATTACTATCATTATTACTACTATTATCATAATTGTTGTTGTTGTTATTGTTCTTATTATTATTATTACTATTGTTATTATTGTTATTGTTACTGTTGTTTTTTCTGGATCTGACTCCTTTGGTTTGTTTTTCTCGGTCCTCTCCAGGTATTTAACGCGCACTACAACCTCACGCGCCACATGCCCGTGCACACGGGCGCGCGCCCGTTCGTGTGTAAAGTTTGCGGGAAGGGCTTCCGGCAGGCGAGCACGCTGTGCAGGCACAAGATCATCCACACTCAGGTGAGAGCCTTATTTATTTATTCATTTATTTATTTATTTATTTTTTTATTCCTCAGTTCACCTTTATTTATTCATTTATTTATTTTTTTATTTGTTCCTCAGTTCACCTTTATTTATTTTTATTTATTTATTTATTTTATTTATTCCTCAGTTCACCTTTATTTATTT